AAAATCCCTAGAGCATCAGTTGGGAACACCTTTGGGTGTGTTTGTGAGGGTATTTCCAGAGAAGATCAATTTTGCAGAGAACTGGTCCTGAGTGTGGGGACTGGATGTAATCCTGAGTGAATATTTTCGTTGACTCAGTAATGGTCATGTGTTGTTGACTCAGGAGTGGCCATATCAAGGACCACTATGCTTTTGATCCATGGAAATAGCAAAGTGTTCCTCTGGCAAGGCTCAGAGGAATTTTGACAAAGCCCTCCCTTGGTCCAAGTACAAATGCTAAAGATTGATTGGTCTTTAGCTAAAACAAATATATGCAGAAAGTATGACCACAGCTTCCTTCTCCCAGTGGATACAGGCTGAGACTGCTCCTCTAGAGAGACCTCTTACTAACTAAGCCTGACTGTTCCTTCAGCTGTAAACAGTAAGTTCACCTTATTCAGTTGTACGTAATAAAGCCACCTCCTCAATTCAGATGTATAAATTAAACTAAGTTTCCAGGCTGCTACTGGTGTCTCCATCCGAGTAACCCACCTGAGCCCTGATTTCTGTACATGTGGCTATGTGTCTGTCCTTCATTCCCTCAATTTTCATCCACTGCCCTAGTCTGGGCAACCCAAAGCTATGCAGGTTGCACAGGAGTGGTCACCCAAGGGTGGGCAGCACCATCTTGGATGCTCACACTGAATAAAAAGTGAAAAGGAACGGAACTGGCATTCCCAACTCGTTGCTTCCCATCTATGGAGAAGTGAACCATGCAGTTTCACACACCTGCTTTCAAGGTTACCGGCAACTCCTGCTGTCATGCCCCACTGACCAGGATATATTGTAGCCTCAAATTGTGAACTAAAATACAAGCAAAACAAAGAAAAGTACCTTTTATTCCCTCCCAAGTTGCCTGTTTTCAGGCATGTGATCATAACATACTCAGAATCAGTTCGGTGTCAGTATGGATATATGAATTCCACAGAAATGATGTTAAATGAGAAAAGCCAAGAACACTGAGCAGACTCTGACTTACACCATGTCAAAGGTCAGACAAGATAATTGAGAACAAAATAGTGGCTACCTCTATGTGAACATATGTGAGTTTGTATAAATTTTGCTACTTCCCTAGAGGCATTCAAGGGTGACAGTCACAACCACACAGCAAGACTCAGCTGCCTTTGGGTCCCTCACGGGAGGCCCTCTTCTTGCTTGCTTGCTTGTTGGGGATATATATTATACACCACAGTGAAAGCAACATAGGGAATCATCTTTCTTGTTTGGTTTGGTTTTTGACATAGGATCTCAGTCTGGAACTGGCTGGCCTTGAGCTCACAGAAATCAACCTGCCTTTGCCTCTTCAGGGCTGGGTTTAATTAGAAGAGTGCACAACTACAACTGGCCTGAATCACCTCTTTTTGAGTTAGGGCCTTGTTTTATAGTCCTGGACAGCTTGGTATTCTCTATGAAGTCCAGGCTGACATCAAACTCACAACAGCCTTCTCTCAGTTCCCCAAGTGTACACGACATTTATCTAAAATACTATGCATGCTAAGTAAGTTCTTTGCCACCGAGCTACATCCTCAATGAGTCAATCTTACGTAGACGGCTTAATGAATGTTTGTATTCTAGGCTTCTGAGAAGGGAACCCAAAGCTATAAGGCTCAAACCTGGATTTTATAATCTGATAGGGGAAATAGTTGAACATGATGGAATAATATGTCTTCATCTCTTCAGTTGTGGCTAGGAGTTGGCTGGGTATCCACTCTCTGCTAGGCACTGAACTAGGTGGGGAAACGCAGTGGTAACCCTGCCCTAGCTCTGCCCTAGAGATGCTGAGGCTAGTGGAATTTTTAAAACTCTTCAGTGTTGTTCAATTTCATTCCTTGCATCTCTGACAGACACCGCTCTAGTTCTGGCTACATCTGTACTCTTTGGTCTTTCGTAATCATTTCCTGATGGATCCCGTTTCTAAACTCCTGCTTGCCATTTACTTCCCAGACCAAAGGTCCCTATGTGAGTGCCCAGTCAAAAAAATCCATGATTGTACTGGGACAGGGTTCAGTGGTAGAGCCCTTCCATAGCATAAAGATCATGGGTGCCACCCAATGTTTCATACTGTCTACAATCCAGGTGACTGTAGTGCCAGCCTGAAGACATCAATTCTCACTTGCAAAGTACTTAATTGTCACCATAGGCAAGGTCCTATCGTGCCCTGAGCCCAATGGGTCTCTTCTTTCAAATAGTCATGAGATAATAGTACCCACCAGCTGCAGCATACCTGCCTCCGCAGGGAGCCTGAGCTTGTACCACTCATTCATCCCCCTAATGCCTCCTCCTTCAGGGCTGTTTGAATCTCTGCAACACCCTACTGACATCCAGGCTTCTGTTTGTTTACACAGACTGGTCTGGATGTCCTGAGCCAATCAAACAGCTGTGGTGATCTGGAATGTCTTTCCTTCTTCAGGTGGAGTCTTCCTCAGTTTTGGACTGTTCAAGATCCTGCCTTTACCAAGACAACCCGCCCCTCCCCCTACTGTGAGTCAGGGGTTTTCTAGGCAGGGGTCCCACAACCTTTGAGTGGAAGGTTTCTGTTTGCCTCTTGTTTCTATGAGTTTGCATTTGCTTGAGGTCAAGCTCTTGTCAGGCTACCACTCAGGATCCCTGAATCACTCTTCCTCATGCCCACAGCTGTGACGCCAGTGGGATGTGGCAGGCCCGGACAACGTATGCTCAGCACTTTCTTAATAGAGTAGCCTTGATTGGCCCCAAGATATGGGTAGAACTTTAAAATATTTTAAATTTAGTGTGTGTGTGTGTGTTCGCGCGCGTGCACATTCGTAGAGGTCAGAGGACAACTTGCAGGAGTTTGTTCTCTTCTTCTACCTTGTGGCTTCAGGGGACTGATCTCAATTCATCAGTCTTGGTACCAAAAGCCTTTACATACAGTGCAATCTTGCTGGCTCTAAGTCTTTCTTTTAAACAGGTTGTACATGCTCATAAAACAAAAAACAAAAGGAACAAAAAGGTTTTATAATGAAAATTAAAAGTAGGTCACCTCCCAATAACCCAGTTCTTCTCCCCAGAGGCCACCATTGGTATCACTTTCTGAGTATTCAGTGCAGACAAGAACTGTCAGTCTCCCTTTACTCCTCCTTCTTTATTTTGGAAATTTTTAAATCAACAAGAAGGTTGCAAGAATAGCCCAGTACACACCCTTTTCCAAAATTCACCAATTAACGATTGGCCATATTGTGTGAAATATTTTGCAAAGATTATTATCACCGAATGCTTGCAACACCTCACATTCGTGTCAGTTTTGTACATGTGGTCAGTGAGGGTAAAGGACCTGCTCACAGCCGGATCAGAGCTGGGCTTTCCCCTCAGGCTGCAGGCAAACTTTGATCTGGGTTCCTTCATTCCCGATTCCTTGTGCGGGAAAGCATTTCTTTCTCAAAATGGAAATACACCTCCCTGGGGTAGTCACCAGATGATCAGTGGAAAAGTACACAACTCCGAAGGCATTTCTCTCCTAAAGCCTCCTTGTGACCTGAGCTCAGCTGCTCTCAGTGCCACCACCTGCTTCAATATCACCTCCACCATGAAGAATGAGTTATAATGCTCGGCCTCTGTTAAAAACCGCAGGCTTACTCCTGACACTGCCAGCCAGCTGAGCCTGGAATCTTAGGTCAAAGTGATTCCTCCTTTCCTTCTTGCCTCCCTCCTTCTCCTCTCCTCCTTAGAAACGTCTCACTTTGGTCCAGACTGGCCTTAAACTCTCCATCCTCCTAGATCTGCCTTACGGACCGCATACTCCTTTCTTGCTCCTCCTCCCCCACTTCCACCTGCATACCTTGGGACTGAACATCTCTTCTTGCTCTCTGCTTAGATCCAGCTCACTGCTGCTGGAAGCAGTCTATCTCCTAAGGAGCAGGGGTTGTCCCCGTCCATCCCCCTCTCCTCCGCCCATTCTGGATTCCGCTGTCCTTTCCAAGTGGCCTTTTCCCTAGGAGTCTGGAAAGACTCCCAGGCAAGAGTGGGCAAGAGTGGGCAAGAGTGGCCTGGAGTACATAGTTCGGGCCCCTTCCTGCAGAGTGACCTTGCACAAACTATTCGCAGTGTTTGAGCCTTTGTTTCCTCAAGCACAAAACGAAGGTAAGAGTGCTTAACTTTAGCAGAATTGGGCTCCCATAATAGAACTGACAACTTCTCACGGCTGCTGACATCTTCTAGTCACCTCGGAAACACTATGTCTTATTACTTAACTGTTCCGCGCGCCTCAGTTTCCTTACGTAAAACCGGAATGGTTAGGGAAAGATTGTGGAACTTTAATGATCTAAACCACGGGGAGCACTTGAAACATTCCTAGCCTTTACGGTGCCATCTGGGTAGACCACAGACCTAGCACACAGTAGGGGCGCAGGCTAGACGAGGCAGAAGGCCGCAGCGAAAAGGCTACGAGAGGGACAGGGGCCCGCAGGGAGACCGCGGAGATCCATGGCGTCCTTCCGGGAGCAGCCCAGCCCAGCACCGCAGCTGTCAGGCCGCGGGCGGCGGCGCCAGTCCACCAAACCTGAAAGTTCCATCCCAGCGCCTCCACCTTCCCAGCCTGGACAAGTTACCTTGCGCCCGCTGCTCCCGGTCCCGCCCCCGCCATCCATTGGTCGACGGGTTTCTTTGTTAGCAGGAGCGTGCGGGTGCCATTGGCCCGCGGGGGTGCCGGTTGAGGCGCCCCGCCCCGCCCCGCCCCGAGTGCGCGCGGCGCCCAGCTCGGTTCGTTCGCGGTGGCGGCGGGCGCCCGGTGAGCGCGACGGCTGGACTTGCCGGCCGGCGCCTGGGGGGCGGCCGCGGTGGAGCCAGCGGCCCGAGGCCTCGTCCGTCCATGGGCCCACAGCGGCCGGGCGGCGGGGCGGGGCGCGAGGCGGCGCGCGCGCTCTGAGGCCGCGGCGAGCAGGCGGGGCGCGGCGCGAGAGGGGAGGCCTTTCCGGGCCTGCGGCGGCCAGCGCAAAATGCGGCGGCGGCCGCGCTGAGTCCCCGACCTCCGGGAGCGCGCTGGGCCGTGGCGGCCCGCTCCGCGGCCGCCTAGCCGACATGTCGGCGGCCAAGGAAAACCCGTGCAGAAAATTTCAGGCCAACATCTTCAACAAGAGCAAGTGTCAGAACTGCTTCAAGCCCCGCGAGTCGCATCTGCTCAACGACGAGGACCTGACGCAGGTGAGCTGCCGCGGGTGCGGAGCTGGGAGTCCTGCCTGCGAGTCATGCCGGGGAGCGCAGAGCCTGCGAAGGCCTAGAGAAAATAAAAATGGAGCAGGAAAAAAAAATGCGTGAGAGTTGGGGGATGGGGTTGGAATGGGGGCGGGAAGAGTATCGATAGAGCCGGGACAAAGGGAAAATCCTCAAGAATGCCGAAAAATAACATCCTTTCCCGTTCCCATAGCTCTGCCGTGTGATTCATGCTTGTTGGGTGACTCAAAAATGTCTGGTTTCCCTGGATAGGAACAAAGTGGGGCTTACTTGCCGCTTGTCAGGACTACCCACTCCCCCCACCCCCCGCGACTTGTCTTGGGGCTGGACTCAGACTTGGCCACCAGACTGTCCCAGGAATTGGCTTGTTTGCGTGGGTCACTAGTTTCCATCTTGTGGAATACAGCCTGCCCTCTTTCTAAGTCACTGTCACCATCAGGGTCTGAAGAGAGATGAGGTGTCTTCAGTTGGGGATGGGTGGGTCTTGCTCTTGAACTGAAGGTAGGAATAGCTTTTGTTGAGGGGTAGGGGCTTCCCTTCTTTTTTTTGCTCTCTGGCACAGAAGTCCAAGAAGATCTGTGCATTCTAGGGAAAGTTGGTTCCCCGCCTCTTATCTGTCCTTAATCTGTTAGTTCGGATTTTGGACTAGGTTAGAAGCTCTTCCTAACCTGTGTCAAAGTCACAGTCATGGAAAACACAGGTCTAGACTTCCAAGTCACAGTCATGGGAAACACATTCCTAGACTTCCAACCTCGGAGCAGTGTAGGAGATTGTGAATTTGTGTTGGTACAAGGTCTCCAATTTGTGCTACTGGCTCTTGGGAACTGCTTGCTGTCAAGTTTCTGGTGTTGAAGATTCCTGGCCTTGTTTGCAGCACTCTGGGCAAGCCCTGTACATCCTGCTCACCTTTCCCCCTAGCCACCCTCCGTTGCCTCCCAACACCTGCTTGACCCCCTGCTTGCTGACTGCCAGTGGAGTTCCCCATGGTTCCAGCCCAGTGCCCCCTAGTTGTAGCCACTCCTTTTGGAAAGAGCTGTTTAGACTGAAAACATTGCTTTGAAGTGCCCTGGTTTGGCTGTTTTTAAAGCCTTTGTGGGCAAGCAAGCAGGCAAGCAAGGTTTGACTTGTTTTATGGGGCAAACCAGAGTGGAGTAGTAGGGCAGGGGTTATGGCATCTTTCTGTGAGGTCAGATTTCCAATAGCCAGGAAGTAATCAGGAAGCTTAACAAGACTCTCCAAGTCTCAGTCATTGGTTTGTTAGAACACCAAGGGCCTTAGAGACCTGTCTGGGAATGGTAGGACTCTTGAGAGAGAAATGTCATTTCCTCTTGTCATTTGGACCTGTTCTGGGTAGCAGTGTATGGGATATGAGGTGACTGCTTGTGACTTTCTGAGGTCTGACCTTGAATGAGTCCCTTTACCTCTGTTTTAATTTCCATATCTGTAAACTAGTAATAGTGATACTGGCTTATTTCTCCTAAGGTGTTGTGAAAAGCAAGAAATATGTTTCATTGAGCTTTCCCCCTTACAATTTAACAAACTAAAAAACCACTGATAGAACAGTCAACTTTGGTTTAAGAAGTTTCTGGCCTTGGCAAAGACTGTTTTGAGGAAGGTTTGTAAGTTTCCAGGTTATTTGAAGCAACTGCCTAAACTGGTAATTAGATATTTATGCTACACAGGGGCTGTTTTTCTGATTCTTGAATGAATGAATGGAATCTAAATGTTTGAGCCTAACTGTTAAAAAATCTGCTGATTATTAGTTAAATTCAAGGGTTGAAGCCAATTGAAAGTATTGAACTCTCGAGTTTGTTGTTTTCAAAATGATTCCACTTTGAGACAGGCCTGAGACCTCCAGGGCAACTGGAATAGTAGTAGTTCCTAAAATAATGAGTAGGGTTATTTGTGTGGGGAGAGATTAGCCCAGACTTCTACCTCCTGGGATCTTTCAGGAAGAAACTGCTCTTGAAAGGAGAGCAGGGAGACTGGAGGCTCTTGCCAACAGCGTTTGTCCCTGCTCTCTGTATCCGGTTCTCCCAGAGCCTTTTGCTCTCCTTATGGCTCCATTAGAAAACCTCAGCCAATTGGTTCCTGTCAGCCTCCCCCAATTCCCTGCTTCCTGCTGCCCCTCCCGCCCAGAGCTTATTTTAGACTGTCCAAGCTGGAGGATACATCAGCCATCATCAAAGCCACCCCCTCTGTAATAGTTGAGGATGTGAGTCTAGGGAGGCGGGGACAGTTTCTGCTCTCAAGGATGTCATCTTCCCAGGAGCACACATTCCTTTAAGCCTTCTGATTTGAGCTTTATTTCCTCAGCTGTTGGTTTTGTTTATTTGTTTTCCCCTAGAGAGGTAGGGAACCTCTTTCAGGCCTGCCTATGTTGTGGCATCAAACTGGGAAGCTCTTGGAGGTCAGTTAAGCTACCCACTTCCTTTCCCTGAAGAAAATCCTGAAACTCAGAAGGGAAAGAAAGCCTTGCAGGAGAGTAGCATGGACTCTAAGTGCCCTTGTTATCCACAGCAGCCACCCCATGAGCACATCAGGATAGTTGAGTTTCAGAAGGTGCCTCAAAAGTGCTGTTTGGGGCCATTGCATCCTGCTTTCCAGTCCCTGGAATTCAGACGAATCTGTGATAAGCTAATCAGCTTTCTTGTCACCAAGGTGATGCTGTGCTTGCTCCACCACTATTCTCAGGGTGATATTTTTCTTCAGTCCTCTTGTGCATTATTCTGCATGGACCCAAATATCACTTAAACCTTTTTTTAAAAAGGTAACATTCTTACTGTGTGGTATGGACATCCTCTTGACACCATGCACCACCACCATGACTCAGTTCTCTCCTTCCATCATGGTTCTGGGGATAAACACAGGTCTTTACCTGCTGAGCCATCTATCTCACTGCCCTCATTCAACCTTTAAAAGCCTGAACTTTGTATTTGTTCCACAGTATTTATTTCTGCTTGAGAATGTTTAGAGATCCTTTTTATGTTGTTACATCTAAAAACATCAAAATCGTTTTCCATGTGGGCCCTTTTGGGATGTACTATAATTTAATCCATTCCCTCAGTGATGGACAATTAAGGCTGCTGATGAGGTTTTGCTGTTATAAATAGTGAATACAGCCAGCAAGACAGTTTAGCAGGTAAAAGTGCTTGTTGTGTAAGCCCAACCCTGGTGACATGAGCTCTTTTTCCTAAACCTACATAAAGATGGAAGGAGAGACCAAGTCTATAAAGTAATTCTCGGACTTTCACCTGGGTGCTATGGAATGTATATGACCGTACACACTTCATATGTACACTCATGCATGCCAACAACACACTAATTTTAAAAATTAAATGCTGTCCTCTTAAAAGATTTATTTTTATTAAATTTAATTATCTGGAGGAGTAAGGGTGAGTGAATGTGTGTGTGAGAAAGAGGGGGGTGAGAGAGAAAGAGAGAATGAATGAATGCATGAGAGAGAGGTGGGGCGAGATTGATTTCGTGTGTATGTGTGCGTATGTAGAAGTGGAAACCAAAGGTGTTAAATCCCTGGAGCTGGATTCACAAATAGTTGTCAGTTGCTTGATGTGGGTGCTGGGAATTGAACTCTGGTCCTCAGGAAGAACAACAGATGCTCTCTGAACCCTTGAGTTGTTGCTCCAACCCAATTGTATCTATCTTAGCTTTATAGTGCTTTTGATTGGGTGTATGCGTGCAGGAATGTAAATATTTCTCTGGGACAGGTACCTAAAAATAAAATGCTTGGGTTAACATAAAGCTCACTAAATTTCCAAATCAGTATCATAACATTTTCAGAAATGGACATTACCAAATAATTTCATTCTTTAATGAGTTCCCTGTTAAACTCCCCCCACCCCACCCCTTTTTTTTTCTTTTGGTTTTTCAAGACAGGGTTTCTCTGTGTAGCCCTGGCTGTCCTGGAACTCACTCTGTAGACCAGGCTGGCCTCGAACTCAGAAATCCGCCTGCCTCTGCCTCCCAAGTGCTGGGATTAAAGGCATGCACCACTACTGCCCATCTAAACTCTCCTTTTAAAGATTTGGTTTTTAAGTTATTTTTAGTCACATATATGTGTGTGTGTGTCTTAATGTGGATATGTACAGGTGAATGCAAGTTTGAAGGAATCCTATATAGCCCAAACTGTCCTTGAACTTGCTGTGGCATATATTGAATTGTTGATCCTCCCGTCTCCACCTCCAAAATGCTGGGATTAAATATAGGTATATACCATTCTTTGTAGTATTTGAGTTATTTTTCTTTGTCCTGTGGATTGTTTGCATTGCATTGTTTGTTCATCTTCACATTAGGCCTTTCTCCCAATGATCCGTAGTTTTTGTATATGCTTTTTGTCAGGGTCTACAAACTTTGTATAGAGGGTTTAATATAATTTAGACTTTGTGGGCCATATAGAGTCTGGAATTATGTTACTGTTAAGGTACATAATGGGCTATAGATAACACAGGAGCCCAGTGGATGTGGCTATATTCTGGTAAAACTTTATTATCAAAAACAGGTAGCTACTTGGCTTTATTGACCTGGGAGCTATAGTTTGGGGCCTATTCCCCTACACATACATGGCAGAGTCCCCCCCCCCCCCCAAGTATCACTTGTCTCTCTGTGTGGCTATTTTTTATACAGTAGTTTTAAAATGAATGTAGTTGGGACTGGGGCCACAGATCATAGCAGAACACGTATATTAAAGTACAGGTGAATGCAGTTAAATCTGTTTTCCTTTATCATTTGTAATTTTATTAATTTATTGGAATTACACTTATTTAGTGTTATGTATTATTGGTTGGTTTACAGTTATTTTTATGTTTAATTTTTCTAATTTATCAGACTTGGTTTTAGGAAAATCACAAAACTAAAGGCAGAGGACCTAGAAGAGGTCATAGGGGTAGTCCAGATAGATCCCCAGGAAGATCTTCACTCCATAGCAATGTTAAGAACTAGAGAGAAGGAGG